TAATAGGCCAGGTGTGGTGGCACAGGCTGTAATCCTAACACTGGGGAGGCTGAGGCAGGAGGATTATTGCAAGTTTGAGAGCAGCCTGGGCTACAAAGTGAGCTCAAGGCCAGCCTGAACTGCGTAGTGAGACCCTGTCTCAAAAAGACAAAACAATAATGAGTTATAATAACCTTCAGCAAGACACAGGCATCATCATGGGAAGGACTAGCACTTATTCTACAGTTAGATCTTATTTTGAGGGGAAACATGGACAACCACCATGGTCATCTTCCCATGTTCTTCCATGTCTTTGTTCTTGCACAGTCACCAAGCCCACTGCACAGTAATCACTGCTGCAGTTGTGGCAGCAGCAGGAACCACCATATGTAAGAAACTCCAGAGTGCAAAAAAGAAAAAAATGGGTCTTATATGCAGTGAACTGATGATATTTGGGAAAAAAGAGAAAAAGTATGAGGGAATATCCTTTCTTAAAGATAAATTCATTGGTGATAGGTTCATGCCTGATTTTCAAGGATTAAGTAGAGATTTTTCACAGGCCTCTGCAGTAGTAGAATACTTCACTAGTCGAAGTTTGGACCAAGCAAAGTTTTTGGTCTTGTTTAATCCTTCAGATGCATATATTTAGGTACTATATGGTTTACCTCTCTTCCGTGATGTTAACACAGACAGTTCAGAGGGCTGTATGTGGAGATACAGTTTTTTAATCTCTTGGGGGCTGATTTTCAAACATTACGGTAGAATAATGATGAATTTCCATGACCTTCACCCATCCTCAGCTGTAATCAACTTGTGTCAAGTCTTGTAAAACTGTATCCCCACTGACACCCTCACCCAGATTCCCCTGGAATGTTTAAAAGTGAATCAGTGTGAGATGACTTCTAAACAAGAGAAAAGGAATTACATCTTCATAATCATCCTGAATCTTTTTGGCAGGCCCTTGGTCTTAGGCGTGATGACACATTTTCTGTTACAATGCTTGGTCATTGCATTGAAATGTACATTGGGGATTCTGAAGCTTATATTGGTAAGATTATAATCATCTTTCTTGGATTTTCTTTTAGATTGTTGTTTGTAGTTTCTTGAATTTTCAAAGGTTCTAAGTTTGTTTTCTTCCATTTTAACTATATTAATATCAGGAAGCTCAAATTTGTTAAGCAATGCAAGGGAATCAATGACTTATTAAACATCCACTCAGTTGTGAACTGAGTACTGGCTGTGTGCAGAACACTGTGACAAAATATGTGTGAAGCATGTGTTAGAAAAGAGTCATTCTAAGTGCATGATAGAAGGAAAAACTTTAGAGATTTTTTTAAAATAAAGAAATGAAGGGCTCTGATGTTTCTCTTTATAATACAGGGTACAACATAATAATCTTTACATTTCAGTGGAACATTAGGGTGCCTTGTGTTCGCTGCACAGTGGTATGTAATTCTTTATTTTTGTAATGATAAATGGCAACAGGATAAGTGTAAGTGGAATTGCTGTGGTTACTGCCTTAGGTTCAGCTACTGTCAAGTCAGGACGGGACACTGAGGTTGAATCTTGAGATGTGAACCTTGGAGTGGACTTACAGGGTGTAAAACCATAGTGGAAAAAAGGTGCTAAATTTGAACTTGAATAAAATAAAGAACTGTGAATTAAAAACACCATTAAGAGAGTGGAAGGCACACTATAGACTGGGCAAAAGTGACTGACTCCAAAGAACTTATGTATAGAACATGAAAAGTCCTGCAAGGTGTTTTTTTTTTTTTTCTTTCAGTTAAATAGTGTGATTAAAAATGAGCAAACATTGAACAGAATGCACAAGGAAGGTGTCTAGGAAGTTTTGAAGCACATGAAGGTGTTCATTGGAAAAATGAAGTTGACCGTGTAGTGAGTAACTGCTGTTTACTCTCCAGAAAGGCTAAAATTAAACATGCTGATATGTTGGCCTATCATGGAGCACCTAGAGCTCTGTGTTATCAATTATCAGGGAGATACAAGTGGAGAAAACTATTCAGCATGTCTTCTAAAGTTATCAGCTATTACTTTATAACATGCTGCTGTAAAGCTCTGTAGCTTTAGCCAGCAGTGATGTATAATGTTTAGAATTCTCTGGGCCAGGTGCTCCTCTGCTCACTTCACCAGAGCCACACATACAGCCGTGGGCAGCATGGATGGTAAGCTTCTTGTCTGTGAAGGTCTATTTTTTGGTGGAACACAGCGGAGATTGGCAGGACTTTTTACACAGCTTTCATTCCTGGCTTTTTCATACAGTGGCCTCAAGAATCTAAAGAACAAGAAAGTCAAAAGTTACATAACATCCTTTCCATCACATTCTGTTCATCAAGACAAGTCATATAATTGGGGCTGGGGAGATGGCCCAGTGGAATAAGTGCTTCCCTGGCAAGCGCAAGGGCCTGAGTTCAATCCCCGGTTCCGCCAAAAATAAATAAACAAACAGGAAGGTCACATAATTAAGCTCAGAATCTTGTATGGGAGGCAGCTGCCCAAGCACAAGGAAGCTGGGAGTTGTGACTACTTGGGATGATGAGTAACCCTACTGGTCTTAAGATATAGCAGTTCTCCACCAAGAGAATCCAGCAGAAACCAGCGCCTCTGTGGGCCTAAATTCACGTAAAGGTTGTTCCTACAACTTTAGTCACAATTACACCAAAATGTAAATGACCGAAATGTATAGCAATGAGAGAATGAAGAAACAAGTTGCAGTCAGTTTTTACAATAGCACACTATACAATTAAAGACTGGCTACTGGATCCTGGCTAAATTTCACAGACTTGACAAAGGGAGAGTGTGCTAGTGCCTGCATTTATGAGGACTAGTAGTAAACAAAACTATATGGTTGTGATGGAAAAATCAGAGTGATAACCACAGGATGAGAGAGCCAGGAGTGCTGGCCAGGAAGGTGCAGGGTGCAGGCTACATGCGTAGCCAGAGCTTTGTTTTCTGTCAGGCAGTGGTTACATGGAACACCTGGGCAGGAATTTATCCAACTATGGGTTGATGGAAAAATATGTAGACTTTTGTTTTATAGCCCAATTCTTAAGAAAACTTTTCTCCCTGTGGCTTCAGGGCAGATAAGAGCTTCAGTTTAATTATTTGTTCATGGAGTTGTGAGTTGAAATGTGAAGCTAAGCAAAGGCTAGTTGCCACAGTGAGAGACATTTTTCCTGCCCTTGTAGAGGGAGTTAGAGGTAGTCTAATTGAGAGTTCCAAGTTACCATTCATTACTTAGTATTTTTATTTTTAAAAGGCTTGTGTGTCATTTATCTACCAAAGTACCTAATTCTGAAAACTGTTAGTTTGAACTATTTAAAACTGTCAGTTTTAATCTATTTATCTAATTGTTTTTGTTTTTCTGTCATTATTTTTCTGTCAGAAATTACCAAATTTGAGACTGGGCGTGGTGGTGTGCACCTGTAATCCCAGTTCTTGGGAGGCTGTAAATAGGCAGATCACTATGAGTCCAATCTAGTAGTGAGACCCTGAACACCCTGTAGACCCTTCCCTAAAATACAAAAAAAAAGAAAACAAATTACCAAACTTACTACATCTGCTCAGATATGTCCCAAGGGCTTGACATGTGGAAACCTCACCTGTGGTTCCCATGAACATAAGGTCAGTGACTGTTCCTAGCAGGCATATTCCAGACAGTTCTTGTCAGTAACAGCAAAGGACAGTTTTGCACGTAGGCCTCACCAGTATTTAGTGGTGTTTGGGGTGCAGTGGCTTAGCGACTACATGGGAGCCACAAATGCACGTGCTTCCCAAGGCTTTTGAGGTGAAAAATAAGAAACGATTGTGACTTTTAACATTCTGGTCCATACTCTCAAAGTCCAGTTGGATTTAAATGATAAGAGCATTGCATATAATGATAGAAACAGTAGACCAATGATACAGAATTTATTTTACTCTAATTATGATGTTTCTTTTTAGGAGCAGACATTAAAGACAAATTAAAATGTTATGACTTTGATGTGCATACAATGAAGACACTAAAAAACATTATTTCACCTCCGTGGGATTTCAGGGAATTTGAAGTAGAAAAACAGACTGCAGAAGAAACAGGACTTGCACCATTGGAAAACTCCAGGAAAACTCCAGATTCCAGGCCTTCCTTGGAAGAAACCTTTGAAATTGAAATGAATGAAAGTGACATGATGTTAGAGACATCTATGTCAGACCACAGCACGTGACTACAGACAGTGGTCCTGGGCCAGTCTGTGCTGGTGTAGGTCAGTATTCCCTGCTGCCCTTGCCATGTTTAAGAATTTCCTACTTTCCAACATGAACCCAAACCTCATCTCTGTTTAGGACCAGAGGCTGCCTTGAGAGACTGGATAGCACACCTTGCAGCAGATGTTCTGAGTCTCTGAACTACAAAATAGTTATACCTAATGGAATAAAAAAGGTAAACCACCCATTATGTCTTCTATCTTTTTCAATAAACTTTTACTTTGGACAAATTTTACTTTGCAGAAGAGTTGCCAAGATGGTAGAAAGCTTCCACACACCCCTCACAAGTGTCTACCTTGTTAATGATGGTGGCACATGGCTTTTACCTGAGTCCAGCATGCCCTGTGGTTCTCATTTTGACCCAGCATTCTGCCCATGTTCATTCATCACACCTACTTTTGAAGTTGACTGGGATGATACATACCTTGTATTTCATGACCTGGAAAGTTTGGAGGAAGGCCTGTCAGGTAACCCGTAGAATGAGCTTGGTTAAATGCCATGGAGGTAAAGCATCTTATCACAGGTGATACTGACCTGGATTGCTTGGTCACAGTGACACCATCTGTCAGCTTCTGCTGCCAAGTTGCTGTCTTTCCCTTTCTGAACTCCATGGGGCAAGGAGGTTAAACCTCAGCTCTTGTGGGGGCAATAGCCATTGTGTTCCTTCTTGAAAATCTGTTTCCTGTCTTCCACTTAGGTGTTCAGTGTTTTATCAGTGTGGACTCAGGAGCGCTTATGTCATATTTTGAGTTACAAACATATACAGTGTTGCTTATTTTGTGGCTTAAATTATTCAACTTTGGGGGGGCAGGGAGATAGCTCAGTAAAATAAGCACTTCCCTAGCAAGCGCAAGGTCCTGAGTTCAATCCCCAGTTCTGCCAGAAAAATAAAGATTAAAAAAATAATAATAAATTATTCAGCTTTGGCTATTGGGAGCTTTTTCAGTTTGACTCTTAAGACATGCAGTCATCCATTTAGTTATTTTTCTGTTTATTGTAATCAAATGTATGTAACATAAACTGTGGACTGCAGTAATGTCTGTGCAGGTTATTAACAGGGGATGAGGAGGAAAAGTATATGGGAATTCTGTGCTTCCAGCACACTTCCCAGCATTCCTCATTTTCTGTTTAGTTTTCCTATAACCCTAAGACTGTTACAAGAAATAAATCTACTAATGAAAACAGACACATGCATAAAAATATAAAATGCCTCATCCACTTGTAAGAGCAGAGCTGGGTGGGATTAATCACAAACTTTTTGTTGTTGTTGTTCTTTGGTCTTTTTGAGACAAGGTTTCACTATGCAGTTCAGGCTGGCCTTGAATTCACTTTGTAGCCCAGACTGGCCCCAAACTCACATCACTCCTGCTTCAGCCTCCTGAGTACTGGGATTGTAGGTGTGCGCCAGCCATACATTTACAATATTATACCACCATCAAATTTCCAAAATTTTTTCATTACACAGAACAAAACTATGCTAAGCAGTAACTCCTCACTCCTCCCTTCACCCCAGGGTAATAATCTAATCTATTTTTTGTCTCTTAAGTTTTCCTGCTGTGTGTATTTCATGTAAGGGAGTTCAGAGGATATGTTTCCTCGTGTGTATGGCTTACTCAGTAATATTTTCATGGTTTATCCATGTTGTAGCGTTCATCAGAACTTCGTTCTTTTTTTATAGTTGAGTACTATTCCATATTCCAAGGGCCACATTTTGTTTATCCATTTGTTGTGAATGTTGATGGTATGAAAATAATCACACAGATACATGAATCTGTTTTCAGTTTCTTGAGATACATACCTAAGAATTGCCTTTCTGGGTCGTAGGGTCATTCTGTATTTTCCATTGCCATTTTTCCAGACTAACTGCACCCCTTTACATTCTATCAGCATTACTCATGGGCTCTAGATTTTCCACATCCTTACCAACACTTGTTAGTTCCCATTAGTTTTTTTATTTAGTAACCCTAGTAAATAGTGGAGCATTTTTTCATCTGGTTCTCATATTTATATCTTTGGAGAAATAATTTTTCAATGCCTTAGACTAATTTTAAATTGGATTATCTTGTTATTGAGTAGTAAGAGTTTTCTTAAATATGCTAGCTATTAACCCCTTTTCAGACATAGGTTTTATTCCCATTGTGTGAATTGCCTTTTCATTTGTTTTTTTTTTTTTTCTTAGGAGATTTGGTCTATTTTTCATTTTACTGTTTATGTCTAAGGGCTGGTGATATAGCTCAGCAGACTAGGTGCTTGCTTAGGTAAAAAAGGGACTAGGGTTCGATCCCTGGTGCCACATGCTGTGCCGGCCCCACCCGTGGGCACACTGAGTCTGCAATGGAGTCTGGGCCTGGTGGCGCACACCTGTAATCCCAGCACTAGTGAGGCAGAAATCAGGAAGATCACTACGAGTCAAAGCTGTGTAATGAGATCCTGCACAAAAAACAAAAACAAAAAAATCCTTAAAATCATAAGGTTAAGGATACATTTTTTTAGTTAATTTTTGTGCATGATATTAGATAAGGGTCAAAATAAATTCCTTTTTTTTTTTTTTTTGTATTTTTAGGGAAGGGTCTACAGGTTGTTCAGAGTCTCACCTGTTTACAGCCTCCCAAGAGCTGGGATTACAGGTGCGCATCACCACACCCAATCTCAATTGCTGTTTCAGCGTACCCCGGTGGAATGCACATACCCCTACCCCCACCACCCTCCACTCCCCATTCCCCTACCCCTACCCCCTGCACTGCTTGCAGGTGCTTTAATCTGCTGAGCTGTTTGGCTGGCCCTTCAAACTTAATTCCTTGCAAGTGGGTGTCCAGTTTTCCCAGCACCACTTGCTGAAAAGGCTGTATCCTTTTCCCCTTTGTGAAATCAATTGTCTTGGCATCCTTGTGAAATCAGTTGACCAAAAATTTGAGGGTTTACTTTAGGGCTCTGAATTATATTCTGTTGACTTATGATTATCTTTATGCCAACACAGTGCTTTACTATGGTTTTGTGTAGGTTTTGAAATCAAGAAGTATGAATCCAATTTTGTTCTCTTTTGAGATTGTTTTGGTTGTTGTACCCTTAAAGTTCCATGTGAATGTTAGCTAGTGGTTGTTTTCCATTTTTGTGTAAAATGCCATTGGGATTTTGGTAGATTATTATATGTGTCACTTTGGAAAGTGTTCTGTTTTTAACAATATTGATAAGTCTCCTACCGTACCCAGAATGTCTTTCTGTATACTTAGGTCATCTTTAGTTTCTTTCAGCAATATTTTATAGCTTTTGGCATGCAGTTTTTTGACTGTCTTGGTTAAATTTATTTTTTAGATGACATTGTGAATGGAATATTCTTGTTTTTCCTTTGTGAGTATTCACCCAAATACATATAGTGTTTTGCTTCCTTAATTTGTGTTACTGGCTCTGGATATCTTTTCTCATGTTGAAGTTTTCTTGTGTTCTAGTTTCCTGAGTGGTTCTTATTATGAAAGGGTATAGATCTTGTCAAGTTCTCTTTTTGGATAGGTTGTGATAGGTATAATAAGCTCAAGGATTTTAGGCCTTTTAAAATTATAGCTAGATTAAATACTGAGAATCACATGAGATTTTTTTTTTTTTTACAGTGCTTACTGAATTTAAACTTTTAAAGGTTGTAATAGTCCAAGCTAATTCAGCTGACTTATAAGCAAAATTCTGAGACACTTAAAGTCAAAAAGAATTAAACAGATGCTGGTGCCAAATTATAGTTTTTATATAAAATAAATGTGATTCATTATTCTTTGTAAATTGTGCATTCTTAGGTGTAGAAGATAAAGAATTTGAATTTTCCTACCTTCTTATTGACATCCTTTTAACTATTAGGGGGGGCTTGCCCATTAACTCAGGCGTTTAAGTGCCTGCTGAAACAAAGCAGTCAGGCTCAGGATGCTGTGGTTTGATCTCCTCATCCTCAAGCCAAACCAGACCTGCCCTGAAGGCATCCTGAGTGGCCCAAAACCAAAAATTCCCTCCTTTTAACTATTAGTAAATGATACAGATGTCCTCTCTGCTAATCATTTTACCATCTTTTGCAATGTCTCACATCATAATAGGCTGAAAATGGAATCCATGTGAAATAAGCAGGCAATTATTGAAAATGATAAGTCTCTTGTAATATGTCATGGTGAGGTTGTCATTTTGTCGGCACATCTATAATCAGTCGGCCCTGAAAGACCCATGGGTTGGGCTCAAGAGAGAAAAGTTCTTACCTAGACTTACATTATTTGGCTATGACTAATTTTGTGAAAAGATGTTAAAATTTTTGTTTGGGAAAGGGTGATATGAGACTATTTTAAACATTTTTTAATCTCTTCACTGAAGTTGGAAAGGAGTCTTGCTGTGATTTCCAGGTAGCAACTGCATAACTAGAGAACAGCTCACTCTCGTGGTTACTCTTAACCCATTTATGCCAAAGCTGGAAATGTTTTGAATTTTTGCACGTGTATGTTACCTAAAAAATTTCAAGGAACAAGAACTTGAAGAGAACACATTTCTGGATCACAAGGCATTGAAAGGTTGATATGTCTTGGAGTTTGTGTTTTGTCTGTTGACAATCCTATTTCAAACTCTAGTCTCAGCCTCAGGAGATACATTGTCCTGTGTCTTCATAGAAAAGGAAGTGTTGTAGTTCTCACAGAACATGTATTAACAGCACTGTTACCACATAAGGTATTACACAGAGATGCATTTTCCTAGCAACTGAAATGCTCCTTTTGGCACCAAGACTTTTAATCTTTACCTATCTAAAATACCCTGTTCTGTGGTAGTTCATCACAGTGAAAGTTGGCCACTAACCAGGGACTTCATGTGGCAGTGCACTCGTATGTTTCTGAGTCTTTTTCTCTTTTAATGGCTTTTCCATTTCTTCTCTTGGGCATGTGATTATTTTTATGCCTTCTCTTTCTTCAGCTGGGGTTAGAAAATCTAAATATGGATCTTGAATTAGTTGACAAATAACTAAAGTGAAAGTAGTCTGCTTATGAAGTGCTGAGTTTTTTCACATGTATTTGCTTGACAGAATATTGAGCACTTGTTAGTTTTTTAGGTATCAGGATTAGTCTTAATAGTGAGACATTATTAAATCGATGTTTTAAGACCTATTAAGGAGTAATTCAGGTCAGCAACAATGTTAACACCAGTGCTCAGGCTTCAGTATGTACAGAAATGGCGTCTCATTATACCACCAAACATTCTGTTACTACCTAGTTTACCAGCAACTCACAGTGGTGCAGTTGCCTTAAAAGATATCCAAGGTTCAGTCTCCAGTACTGCCCCGAGAGAGAGAGAGAGAGAGAGAGAGAGAGAGAGAGAGAGAGAGAGAGAGAGGTATGTCATCTATAATTTAGTTTCTGCGCCCTCACCTTCAAAGAAGAAACTG